AGATCAATAGAGAAATTATCTGGGTATTAAAGGCCAGACTCAGAAATAGAATAGAGTCACTTTGGTCAAAATCAGTGCAAAAGAAAGACTTTTTCCTATATCTTGCATACGAAATGCTTTTGTAAAGTAGGCACCTTGCCACATACCTAAGCATGCAGGCAGAATTAATCAGATTAGCATTATGTTGCTGAAAAGACTAATGAGGCATTCTTGAGCAAGTCAGCATTTTCAGAAACAGAAACCAAGACTTGGAAGCATGGAGTTCTGCTGTTCTGATAGCTTTATTTCAAACAATAGAAAAAGTAAGAATTATCACCTATGTGCTCAGACAATTTCTCAAACTATAGTTTAAAGTTATATCTTAATTTGGAGATTGCAGAGTTGAGCACAGCCATACATGAAACTCCACATGGGTGGAAGCAGGGGAAAGACTAGTCGGTCATATGTGTAAATTTTGTGACTTTCCCTCAACAATCCAGAGAATCTGTCATGTAAAAAATAATATACTCATAATCATATAATCATATGAGTGTACTATTTTTTTTACCAGACCACCTGACCTGCCTTTTGAGAAATGTATGCAGGTCANGCAAGGGTATCCAACCAGTCCATCCTAAAGGAGATCAGTCCTGAGTATTCATTGGAAGCACTGATATTGAAGCTGAAACTCCAATCCTTTGGCCACCTGATGCGAAGGGCTGACTCATTTGAAAAGACCCTGATACTGGGGATGATTGAGGGTGGGAAGAGAAAGGGACAGTCGAGGATGAGATGGTTGGATGTCATCACCACCTCAATGGACATGAGTTTGGGTAGACTCAGAGACCTGGTGATGGACAGGGAAGCCTGGCATGCTGCAGTCCATGGGGTCGCAAAGAGTTGGACATGACGGAGCAACTGAACTGAACTGAAGCTAATTGGGGCTGCAAAATCTCAAGTCTTTTACCTTCTATCTAGAGTTTATCCCTTTGCCTTGTGACACCCTTTACTTGTTCCTCGTCTCAACTCACTAAACCTTCCTGATATAGTCCCAGCTTTCTTTTAAGAAGTGTATTATTATCATTATTATTACTTTGCTTTAGTAAGAGGTGGGGAAGTAGTCTTCATTATGTAAAATGTGATATACAAATTTGTGTGGAGTGCTTCTAAAAGTAGAATGTCTGCCAAGTCCTCTAGCAACTTTACCAGCGTATAATTAAGCACTCATTTAAACTATAGTTTATGTTTGTGTGAAGGGAGAGTGTAGAACTCAAAAATAGAAGTTGTTGTGGGTTTTTTTTTCCTGTATTTTTAAATTATATGTTAGATTCTAGTTTTGACAGCTATGACTCTTAAAGTAACAAAACTGGATTTTCAATTCTAGTAACATGGTGACTGAGATGACTGAAGAAAGCATCTTGATACAGGACACCTAAAGAGTCCTGGGTAGAATGATGATCTATGTAAAATAAAACAGCCTTCGGAGGTTAGATTTAGGAGGAAAAGCAAATCTAGAATAGTACTGAGAATTGATTGTGGCATATTTTCTGGAGCATGTGATTATCTCTGATGGCCTAGACCTGAATATATAAGTATATGCTTTTGTGGTAGAGTAGACATAAAGCCTTCATTCTAATTTTGTAAAGGAGTATCTCAACAGAATTTCAGCTTTTTGAAATTTGTTGATACTTGCTTTGTGGCTCAGCATATTCTTAATTTTTATAAATGTTTTATGTGTGCCTGAAATATATGTATTCTACAGTTTCAAGATAGACTGATTTATATATCAATTGCATTTATTCATGTTACTCAGATATAGCACAAGGGTTTTTTTTTTTACATTTGTTTCTTGTTATTGACAGATGTATATTAAAATTATTTCCTATGGTCAGATAGAGGTATACAAAGAAGTATAATGAAACTCAAGAGTGATAGATATGTTCTTCATTGGTAACTGTAATGATGATCTCAATTTTGTATATATATCTTAAAATTGATTAAATGGTATATTTTTAATAGGCCAAATTTCTTTTATGTATACTATATCAATAGAGGTCTTAGAATGAGCCATTTTTCTTTGCCATTTAACCAAGTACATGAGAGAAAGCATAGTAACATCTCAGTAGATACAGTAGAAACTCACTTAGTGAATTTCAACATTTGTTCATGAAAGAAGGTATTATTAATGTATTAGAATTTTATAGAACCTTTTTTAATGTAGTATAGGAAGTACTGTACATCCACACACACACAAACTATGGATATCATGATATTTAGTGGTGAAATATTAAAAAAAAAAAAAAAAAAATCNTCAATGTATGACAAAAACCACTGCAATATTGTAAAGTAATTAGCCTCCAACTAATAAAAATAAATGGAAAAAACATAGTACTTTTAAACCTAGATTCAGGTAAATCTATACACAAACTAGTGGTTCAGTATGTACAGAGATAAATATATAAGTGCATAGGTAAAGGGGTTCAATATGTGCTGATAGATAAACATATAAGTGCCTAAATAAAGGGTCAGACAAATGTATTTCTAAAAACATTTCCTGTCGCAAACTCTCTCAACTATGACTCTTGAAATGACCATGCTTTCATGCCCTAAATCGTCCTATTATATTCAGGGAATGAACTTTTGTGCATCCAGGCAGGCAGGAGCTATGCACCATACTTAGAATGTAAAAAGCTGTCACTCAAGTAATTTTTTGTTCTAAGGCTCACATTAAAAAGTCTGGCTTAATAAGATGTATACAGGCCATAATTCAAGATGCTATTAGCAGATTTGTACAGATGCCTTAGTACTATATGTCTGGGTATAGAACATTTATGTTTAGTGATCTTTCACAGATTGACCTTTTGAAGAATTTTCTTAATGGCAGACAGAACATAATGTGCTGATATCTAAGATAAAGAAACAGCTACTGATCATGTCATTAAATTATACTAACTATAAATTTAATAACCGTCCTCAAGAATATCTATAAGTACTTCCTTTAACAAATGTTTCTCTAGTTCTCCTTCACCTGCTCAAAAAGTCATGGACATTTTGCACTGCCTTCAGTAAGTTTTTCAGAAGGAAAGAAACTTTATAAGATTCTGCTCAAATGCAGTGATCATTACTTATTATTCTTCAATTTAATTTCAGTATATATTAACTTACCTTTGTGCAAGTAGCATTAAAGCTAATAACGCTAAAAAGGATTAAGATTAGAAAGTAAGCTGTCAGTGACAAAGCTCATTAATGGCCTTTATCACTACAAGCTGATGAACTACATCTAGGATAATTGGCCTAATTACAATACATTTGTTTCTTTAGCCAGGTATTCTTCACTTCACTCTGTACTAATTACTTATGGGTCTCAGTTTAGCCAATTACATTTCTCTTCCCATTCTATCCATTTGTAAAACATATAGCCCAGATGTCCTATACCTGTGCTCATAATAGTTAACAACGGCTTTAAGGAGACAAGAAATAGAAAGGCAAAAAGATATTTTTATCCCCAGGTACAGGGTAAAAAAAAATATAGAGTGAATAATAAGCGTTTTGGGTTTTTCACCTATTTGAGTGGGGTTGCAAAAATTTATTTAAAATCTAACTATACCAGAGACCCCTGATATATTTTATTTGATTCATTTCCATAAAATGCTTTAGTTATTTTGTTTTCATGACAAGTAACAGAAATACCCAACTAAATATGGTTTAATGATTTTTTAAAAAGTTAAATTATTTTATATAAAAGGTAGGCAGGACCTCATTCTGCATGTCAGTGCTGGTGAAGGCAGGTGCTGTTTTGGAATTCTCCCTCTAACTTGCCGGAGTAGGGAGGCATGCCCCACTGAGGGCCCGGCTCACACCCATGTGCCACAGCAGTGGGCTGGACGAGCACCCCTCCCCCCCATCTCCACACCAAAACAGGTGGGCCCATGCATCCCATACAGGGGACTTCACTTGAGTGTCCATCTCTGGTGGCCAGAGGACATTGCACTTTTGAGCCCCATGGGAATCTTCCTAGACAAAGCCACCCACTCCTTCAAGACTGGGAGGGATAGCTGATTTGCCTGCTGCTGCTAAGTCGCTTTAGTTGTGTCCAACTCTGTGCGACCCCATGGACAGCAGCCCACCAGTCTCCCCCGTCCCTGGGATTCTCCAGGCAAGAACACTGGAGTGGGTTGCCATTTCCTTCTCCAATGCATGAAAGTGAAAAGTGAAAGTGAAGTCGCTCAGTCATGTCCGACTCTT